GTGTCCCTAATATTTTAGGAGCTCATTAAGTTGCTGAGGCTGGCTTTGAACTTGTGATCCTCCTGCTTCAGCTTCATGAACCTCTGGGATTACAGGTGTATGCCCAGCGCACTGTAGGTTTTAAATGCCTTAATGCCTTACATTTTCACAATCTTTGTAAATTTTCCATCTAATCCTTTTTCTGCTCCACATAAATTTTCAGTTGCAACACATGCAGTAGGTTCCACCTCAGGTCGTACTGAAGTGGTGTATTTTCAACCTCTTTGAAATATCCTAGCCTTAATCATTTCATCCACATTATTCGTGTCTAATTCTTTTTTCTTTTAAAAATGTGTCAAATTGTTTTCCAGTGTGACTATGTTACTCAGGGTTTTAGATCTCTAGTTTTCCACATCCTTTCAACACTTGGTGTGGTCAGTCTTTTTTTTTTATTATTTTATTGTTTTTTTTTTTGTTCTTATTAGTTATCATGAAAGTAGAATGTATTTTGACATACTATACATATATGGAGTATAACTTCTCATTCTTCTGGCTGTACATGACGTAGAATTACATCGATCGTTTAATCATATGTGCACATAGGAAAGCTATCTCTGATTAATTCTACTATTTTTTCCTATTCCCACCTCTCCCTTCCCTTCATTCTCCTTTGTCTAATCCACTGAACGTCTATTCTTCTTTACCCACTCCATTGTGAGTCATCATCTGCATACCAGAGAAAATATTAGGCCTTTGGTTTTTTTGGGGGTTGGCTTATTTCACTTATCATGATAGTCTCTAGTTCCATCCATTTACCAGCAAATGCCATAATTTCTTTACAGCTGAGTAATATTTCATTGTGTAAATGTACCACATTTTCTTTATCCATTCATCTGGTGAAGGGCACCCTAGGTTGGTTCCCATAGTTCAACTATTGCAAATTGAGCTGTTATAAACATTGATGTGGCTACATCATGTAGTATGCTGATTTTAAGTCCTTAGGTATAAACTGAGGAGTGGGATAACTGGGCATGTCTGATTCTTCATTAACTGAAAACTCTGTACTGTCTCCTGGAATAAGTAGCAACAATTGAGCAGTATCTATAACATCTTTTCACTAATCAAGAGCTTAGGAACATTATTAGCCTTCTGTTCTAAATTGATTTTTGATGTTCCAATATTATCTAGTATTTGAACAACTGTTCTCACTCAAAAAGACTTATAGTTTTCAAAAATTTTAGATTTTGCAGGCAAACAGAAACAAGGCTATTACGCAGGGACTTTCCGGACACCCTTTAATGTTCTTACTTTTTTTTTTTTTTTTGTAGTTTTGGGTACTGAGTCCAGGATGCACACAAGGGAAGCACTCTACCATGAACTACACCTCAACTCTGCACTTACTTTTTAAAATGATGCAAATAAATTTATTTKGGGGAAAACTACCATATTTCCTTGCTTAACAAGGGTAGATAGCCACCACAGTGAATGAAAGTGTTAGACTGACCATTGTCAAGGGTCACTCTCATGTGGCATGTGCRTACAATCACCCATCAGCACACATGAGTCCAAATTATTCTATTATCTCACTGAGTAAGCCAACAGTTGCTTCACRTCAGGCTAAAGAAGAAAAAAACACCAAAGAACAAAATAAGAAATCTCTGCTGCTAGAGGGCTTTTTTAAAAATTTAAGTATGATATTTAAGTGAATTAGTTTTCTAGCTTAGAATCATTAATTCGGTGTTGCAGCCAACTTCATCTCTTCTCCCCTCCCCCTCTTTCCCCCCTGTATTGGGGATTGAACCCTGGGTGTTTTAACCATTGAGCTATATCCCCAGCCACTTTTTTTAATATTTATTTTTTTAGTTTTAATTGGTCACAATACCTTTGTTTTATTTATTTTTATGTGGTGCTAAGGATCGAACCCAGGGCATCGCACACACTAGGCGAGCCCTCTACCGCTGAGCCAAACCCCAGCCCTCCTCAGCCATTTTTATCTTTTCTTTCAAGAGGTCTTGCTARGTTGTTGAGGCTGGCCTCAAACTTGTGATCGATCCTCTTGCCTCAGCTTCCCAAGTCACTGGAATTAAGGTATGCACTAGTATATCTGGCTGAACACACATTTTTAATTTTTTTTGATATTTTACTTTTTAGTTGTAGTTGGACATAATACCTTTATTTTATTTATTTTTATGTGGTGCTGAGGATCAAACCCAGGGCCTCACATGTGCTAGGCAAGCGTGATACTGCTGAGCCACAACCCCAGCCCGAACACACATTTAAAAAAAAAAAAATTTTTTTTAAATTGTCGATGGACCTTTACTTTATTAATTTATTTAAATGTGGTGCTGAGAATCGAACCCAGTGCYTCACACATGGTAGGCAAGCGCTCTACCACTGAGCCCCAGCCCCAGCCCACATTTTTAAACATGTTTTAAAAATTATTGTTATTGACACTATGAAATGTGTCATCCCAACACTGTCATGTCATAATTGCAAAGATAACAGAATTTCCACAGTATTGGAAATTACGTGTTAATCCATGCTTCAACATTCAAGTTTATAAAAAAGTAAACTTTGGAACTTCAGTCATGTCAAACAGCAAGGTCTATCYTGAKCCACAGTTTTTTTGTTTTTTCTATGCCATATTTTTGARACAGCATACATAATTTAGGATGGACTTTGTGTCCATAATTTAGGYTGTMATGACAGWAGCTAAGTACAAGATATTTACACAGTGTCAATATCACATGAAAATTTGGGCAAAATTTTGATACTTCATAAATAAAGGAATGACATTTTTGTCCACTTTAAAAAAAAATTTAAAAAAAGTAAAGAGGGAGAGAGAGAGAATTTTTAATATTTATTTTTTAGTTCTCGGCGGACACAACATCTTTGTTGGTATGTGGTGCTGAGGATCGAACCCGGGCCGCATGCTCGCGCTACCGCTCRAGCCACATCCCCAGCCCCTGAGCCACAATTAGATAAGTCAGTAGTTCTGGAAATTCTATCCAAGTTGTGTGGAGGTTCCCTCTGCATTGCCCGGGATAACGAGACTTGGAACTTGACCTGTCTTTCAGCTGATTGGTTTCAGTTAGTATATAGTGGTCATCATTTCCTTTGCTCCTCAGACAGCTGACAAAGGACAGGAAGACTGAGGGCTTTTTCTGATACTCTGCAAATCCATTTAAGGAAATTCATCATGGATCCCCACCACACACACCCCTTTACTGGGTTTGCAAATCCAGGGCCTTGAGTATGCTGGGCAAGTGTTCTGTCACTACACAAGTCCCCGGCCCTGTTGCCCATGGGGGTTTCTTTTTTTTCTTTCTGTATGTAGGTATGTTTTTATGTATATATTTGTTTTTGGTACCAGGGATTGAACCCAAGGGCATTTAACCACTGAGCCACATCCTCCATCTTTAAAAAAAATTTTTTTTTTAGTTGTGGATGGACACAGTACTTTCATTTTTATGTGGTGCTGAGGGTGGAACCTGGTGCCTTACTACTGCCAGGAAAGGGCTGTACCCCTAAGCCACAACCCCAGCCCCCACCCCTGCCTTTTTTGAGACATTCTCCTGCTTCAGCCTCCTGATCCATTGTGATTACAGGTGTGGGCCACCTGGAGCAGCCTGTTGGCATTTCTTAATGAGTGATACAGCGTGTCCAAGCCTCCATACTTTATTACATTCTTTTATATAATTGTGTCATCAGCAGAGCTGCCCCTAGGTTTAGGATTCTTTTTTCCTCTCTAGTGCTGGAGATTGAACCCAGGGCCTCACACATGCTAGGTAAATCCTCTGCAACTGAGCTACATCCCCCGTCCTTTTCATTTTTATTTATTTTCCTTATTTTATTCGTGCATTATAGTTATACATGATGGTGTAATTTGTACTACCTACTGTTACATGCCTCTCTCTCTCTCTCTCTCTCTCTCTCTCTCTCTCTCTCTCTCTCTCTTTCCTCCCCCAAGAGAGTATCTCGCTATGTTGCTGGCCTCAAACTTGTGATCCTCCTGCCTCAGCCTTCCAAGTATCTGGGATTACAGACGTGGGCCACTGCCCTGGCTTGGTTTAGGCTTCCTCCTCCAAGATGGCTAGAGTGGCAAGCTTCAAAGTGCCTCTCATCAAAGGACCAGACCAGGGCTCTCTAGTCCTTCCTTGAGAGTCACTTTGAAAGAGAAAGGGGCTGGGGAAAGACACCTGCGCCTGGCGTGGGCTGGGAGTTGAAAACACCATCTCCCGTCCTACTTTACTCAGAGCCCGGCCGGAGTGAGAATGCCTTCCCCGTCAATCCGCAGCTTCGCCACCACCATCCTCCCCCCTGGCTCCCAGCGAGTTACACTCCGCGAACTGAGCAGAGTGAGTCTGACTGCGGACCCTCCAGTGCCCGCTGGCCACCTAGGGAGGCCAAGCGGCAGCGGGCGGCGCTGCAGACCCTCTGCTGTCCCCAGCTGTTCCCCAGCCCCCGGAGCCGGCCGACTGAGCTCGTGCGCCCGCGGAGATCCCCGGGCGCGGGCGCGGGCCTGGGCGGGGAGCGGCTCGCAGGGCTGGGCGGGGCGGAGCCGGCGGCGGGAGCGGCTGCGGCGGGCCGGCGCCCTCGGAGCCCGCTCGGCAGGGCTGGGCAGGGCTGGGGTGGCCCGCGCCCGCCGTGCGCAGACTCGCGGACGCTCGGACAGGCATGGTCAGGGCGCCGGGAGCGGGGAGCGGGACCTCTCCGGCATGTGGTCCGGGAGGTGAATCGGGAGCCCACACCCCGCCAGGAAGAAGGCAGGGGCGGTGGAGGCGCCCTGCCTCTTTAAGACCGTGTTCCTGCTGACACCGACGACGGTGAGCAACCTGGCCCCAGGTCCCGGCTGAAACCCAGGGAAGGGATGGGTCCTCGGTCTAGTTCCCAGAGGTCGATCATACAATTCTCCGGGGGTGGATTTGGAGAAGTCATCAATGGTCGGAGGGCTCCACTTTGGGTCAGAGCCCCCAGATAACCCGTAAGTTTTTCAGGGCTCCTGGAGAGGGTGGTGAGAAAAGCGAGGCCAAGTGCCCAAGGGAAGAGGGCCCTCACCTGGCTTCGGCGTCCTAGGCACCTGGGAGGCACAGATCTTCATGAATCTGGTAAGTCCCTTAGCTCTTGGGCTTGGGTGTGGGGTGGGAAGGCAGGGGAACCTACCCGGGCTGGCTGTCAGGGCCTTGAGCCTGTTTCCTGGACTGAGCAGTGGAGCTGCACTGATGGGGCATCTGGCAGCCCCTCTGGGGACCTCAGAGGGCACAGCAGCAAAGAGCTGGTAGCATTGTGCCTCCAGGTGCCCAGTGGGTCAAAGGGTGAGGCTGAGTGGTCAGATGATACAGGGTGAGCAGCAGGAGCATTGTGAAGTCACAGAGGAAGTGGGATGCTACAGCTGGGGCCTCAGGCTGCAGGAGGAAAGGTGTGGCCAGGCCGACTCAGGGCCCTCTGTCTGTGGAAGGGAGCCTCTAGGATCAGCAGGGCATCTCTGGTGCCCAAGGTGGACTGATGAGTAGTTGGGTGAGGCCACCCCACCACAAGGGTCCCCCTCCCCATCCTACATGGGAATGAAACAGTCCCTTGTCTGCCCACCGGAAGCCTAAATACCACCCCCATCATGTGGAAGGAAAGCAGCAGAGAGACTGAATGGCACATCCTGCTGTCCCCCTTTCTCCCAAACCTCTTCCCAGGCAGACCACCCTTGCTCTGTCCAAGCCTGGCTCTGTGAGCTTTCTGTTCCTCCTGAGTAGTTGACTTCCAGGATTTGGGGTTACCAGGGCTCTGGGGAGCATGCGCTGGAGAGAGATGCCTCTGGAAGATCATCACTGACTCCCATCCTCCCACTTCTCCAGATGCAGAGGCCTCCATGGCTGTGATAAGCCTGCTGTTCTTGGCAGTGATGTATATTGTACACCACCCCCTGATGGTYAGTGACCGGATGGACCTGGACACACTTGCCAGGAGTCGGCAGATGGAAAAGCGAATGAGCGAGGAGATGCGGCAGTTAGAGACAGAGTTTGAAGACAGAAAGCGAGCGGCCGAGCAGAAGCAGAGGGCAGAGAGCTTTTGGAGAGGAGATACGCCCAGTGATCAGTTAGTGCTGGGGAAGAAAACTGYGGGGTGGCCATTCCAGGCCAATGGCCAGGAGGGTCCTTGGGGCTGGCTGCTGGGGAACCTGTGGAATGCTGGCCTCTTTTGCCTTTTTCTCATCTTTGAGTTCCTGCGACAGAACATGCAGCATGAACCGGCCTTTGAGTCCAGCAGCGATGAGGAGGAGGAAGTGCGTGTTGTGCCTGTCACTTCTTACAACTGGCTCACCGACTTCCCCTCCCAGGATACCCTGGAATCCTTTTACAAACACTATATCCAAAATGCTATCCGGGACCTGCCATCCACCTGCGAGTTCGTGGAGAGCTTTGTGGATGATCTCATTGAGGCCTGTCGGGCACTCAGCCGCCGGGAGGCTCACCCACAGTTGGAGGACTGCCTGGGCATTGGGGCTGCCTTCGAGAAGTGGGGAACCCTCCATGAAACCCAGAAATTTGATATACTTGTGCCCATCGTTCCCCCAGAGGGTACCATGTTTGTCCTGGAGATGAGGGATCCGGCGCTTGGCCGTCGCTGTGGCTGTGTATTGGTGGAGTCTGAATGTGTGTGCAAGCGTGAGAAGCTCCTGGGGGACGTGCTGTGCCTTGTCCACCACCACAAGGATCACTCAGTGGCCTTGGGAAAGTGTAGCAGTTCCATTAAGGCAACTCTCTGCACCGGCAGGCACCTGGATGTGTGCAAGACTGTGCAGTGGTTCCGGAACATGGTGGGCAATGCCTGGGCCCTGGTGGCCCATAAGTATGACTTTAAACTCAGTCTGCCATCGTCTACCACCTCCTGTAAGATCAGGCTGGATTACCGCTCAGGCCGCTTTCTGTCAATCAGCTTGATCTTGGGGGTGCAGCGGGAAGATACCTTGGTCTACCTGGTGAGTCAAGCCTCTGAGCAGGAGCAGCTCACCAGTGTGGACTGGCCAGAGTCCTTTGCAGCCTGTGAGCACTTGTTCTTGAAGCTGGTAGGGCGCTTTGCCCCTGAGAACACCTGTCACCTCAAGTGCCTACAGATTATTTTGAGTCTCCAGGACCACCAGAGCTTGCCCCCTGGGGCATCCCACCCCATCCTAACCCCCTACCACTTCAAAACGGCACTCATGCACCTGTTGCTGCGGCTGCCCCTGACAGACTGGCAGCAGAGCATGCTCTCTCAGAGGCTGCAGGACCTCCTCTGGTTCTTGGGCCGTGGCCTCCAGCAGAGGTCCCTCAATCATTTCCTCATTGGTAACAACTTCCTGCCCCTGACCATCCCCATCCCGAAAACGTTTCGGAACGCTGAGCCTGTCAATCTCTTCCAGCACCTGGTGCTGAACCCCATGGCGCACAAGCAGGCGGTGGAAGAGTTCCACAACCTTCTGACCCAGGTGAAAACGCTGCCCTGTGCCCCATTGGCTGGGGCACCTTAATGTAAAGGTTATTAAAAAAAACCCACAAAAAATGGAAGAAGGTATTTCTAATTCCTCAGGCTGCTAAAGAGTTTATCTTTCCACATATATCACTGGTGTATGTGTAGGTGACCTTCACCTTGCCAGTGGGGGCTGTGGATAGAGTAAGGCACCCTCCGAGAAGTGCCTGAGTCCCTGAGGATAGATGCYGCCTGCAGGGTCTAATCTGGGGGGCTGAGGTCTTCTCCTGACTTAGCTTTCATCATGACCCAAAGAAGGGCCAGGGAACTGGATGTTACAGGAGGATCTTGTAGCTAAGGAGCTGAGATCCTGTGAAGTTGTGTTTCTGTATCAACACTGGAAGCAAAAGAGAAGCAGAGAATACCTCCATCCCAGCCTCCTCTTTTTGTGAATGGTTCCCACACGTTCCTTGTGAACTGGGTCCCTGTTGAACTATTAGCTGGATTTCCCTCCCAGGGGACGCCACCTTATCCCAAATACTGTGATGGCAGCTTCTCATACTTTGCGATCTGATTTTTCAGACCTTTGCTGTGTTGAAAATATAATCAAAATGTTTTTTCCATTTTCTTAATGAACCCTATTTTCATGACATTATAGTTTGTTTTATGAACTGAGAGAAACTCCAGTACTGCCCAAATCATTTTAGCATTGACTCACAAATATTCAGTCGATGGTGACTTGTCCCATAACTGAGATAATGTATTTCCTATATTTAATTAAAGCACCAACATTTTATGACCTTTCCTGGGCCTGGAAGCAACATTTTAAAACCCCTCAGGGACATTCTAAAGGCTGAGGGCAATCTTTCTGTAATTATCAATTTGTTTCTGAGGAGAAGCCACTTGTGTGTTATATGGAAAGGTTCAGCTACCATGTGTAGCTGGAATTTTCTGGTCATGCCTTTGTGTTTTCATCAAAGATGACAAAGGGATTACTTGAAGTATGTTTGTGGTTTTGAAAAGGGGGATATCACAATCCAGGCCCACTGCCAGGGCTGGACAGGAAGGGACTGTGAAGCAGTTCAACTCCAACAGAATCATGATTYTAAGAGATATGGTTTCAAAACCTTGAGCACCCTGAGGAGGGGCGTTAAGAAGTAGTGGTGGGTGTGGTTGTTTTGGAAAGGTTAAGCTGTTCCTACCCAGCACGGCCAGGGAAGATCTGTTGGGAAGAGGATCTGGCCCCACATTCAACTTGGCCTTGGTGGGGGTGAGATGCTGGCTTTTAGGAMTTGTGTTAAGACCTTCACACTTTCTTCCACTCCAGGAAAAAATAAATTAAATATCCCAGAAACCAATATCAGTCAATATTTGGGACTCTTGCTGCACAGCAGAAGCTATTCTGCTCCCATGTCACCTGCTGGCATCTGCCAGGTACTGGTTTCAAGGTAAGAAGCAGTGATGATTGATTCTGTCAGTGGGATCTTGGTATTTTTAAAACATCTGTATATTTTTTTGTTGAGAAAAATCTTTGCTGGTGTTTTAGTTCCGAATCAATAAGGAGGCTATTTTCTGTATAAACTGGAATCTGCAATAATACATTCAGCAGATCAGCATTCTTACATGTCTGTTCCCAAGAAGTTCATGTTACTGACAGCTCCATCATACATCCTGGTATTTCTCAATGTACCTTAAACCAGTCTGCCCTGTGGTTTCCCAGTGGCATGGCCAGTAGCCAGGAAACAGTAACTCAAATGGGTAAGGAACATCTAGGTTATTAATTTTCATGGTGCCCAAACCAAAATATCAATGACATTAAAAGATATTAGTGGCTACAAACAATGTAAGCACTAGAAGTCTATCCAGGTAGAAAGAAGGTACGATCTTTAGGTCTACATGGCTGTTTCTAGTCTAACAGGAGACAAGAAAATATGAATTCATGAGTGGGCAGGCAATTACAAAGGGATCAGTCAGCAAAACTTGGGTGGGGCAGAAGGTACAAGAAAGAGTACATGAAACAAAAAAAACAAAAACAAGTAGTAATGAAAAGAACAGACCCGTAGTGCTCTGGGAATACTTTCACAATTAAAGGGGAAACCTCTGCAGATAGTTAGGAAGCTAAGCTTTATTCTGAAACAAAACCTGGCGAGCCCCAGGATACAACAGCATTTCTAGTTAATGGGACAGCTTGGCCCTGACCTAGAGGTCCGGGCACTGTTCTGCTTTACATCTGGTAATTCATTTAATCCTCACATTAGGACCCCACTAAGCAGGTCCTTTATCCCCTCTATTTACATATGAGGAAACCGAGGCATGCCACTTTCCCAAGGTCACATAGCTCAGGAGGTGGCAGAATCTTGAAAGTACCTGTCCTTGCAAGCTTTCAGTGGTTTTGGAATGAAACAAGGTTTAGGGGTTAAAGTGATTTGAAAAGAAAAAAAAAAGTGCCATGTTAACTTTAAGATAAAGAGAGTTATAGTTCTGTTTGGAAATTCTAGAAGACAGAAATTGTTGATTCTTAGTCCAGTCTTAGGAGGTCAGGAGTTTCATATGGCATACAAAAATTAAAGGCATTTGCATAGAGGCCAAAATGAATGCTAAGCCATTTCTACTATATGTATGTTCCAGTGCTTGATGGTTTAAATCAGGAACTACATTGTGTTAAGTCAGCTACAGGATGGAAAGGCAGCACAAACTTTTTTAGTATGGGGGGATTGAACTCAGGGGCCCTCTACCCTGATTTACATCACTAGACCTTTTTACTTTTTTTAATATTTTTTAGGTGTAGATGGACMCAACACAATGCCTTTATTTTTATGTGGTGCTGAGGATCAAACCCGGGTCCCGCCCCTGCTAGGCAAGAGCTCTACCGCTGAGCCACAATCCCAGCCCGACCTTTTTACTTTTTGAGACAGGGTCTCAGTAAGTTGCTGAGGCTGGCCTCAAACTTATGCTCCTCTTGCCTCAACCTCCCCAGTAGCTGGATTACAGGTCTGTGCCACAGGGCCCAGCTGGTTAGAGCAAATTTGAAGCCAAAAGGTAGCTTGTTCAGGTAGCCAGTTGATACTCCACTGTTCTTCACCTAAACTTAGGCTGCTGTCCATGTATTTGGGGGAATCCCAGAGAGGAGCACAATGTGGGAGAGGGCTGGTGCCAGCATTGCTTTTCTGGCAGCTTGCGAGTGAGGGGAGGGGCCTGCCACTTTTATACAGAGGAACTGAGCTTTGCATACTGCTGATAAATCTTGCAATCTTTTGGCACCTTCAATAGCCCTAACTCCAAAACAAAGACAGCATTCAGAGCAGGAAGAAAGACCTGCTTGCATGGGGTGTGTCTGCCCCACAGAGACCTGGGATGAAGCTGGCTCTGCCCCCTGCACCCAGCCCCAAGCAGTCAGCTTCGGAGGCTCCTTTATCACCAAGAACAGCCTCAGCCTCACCTAGTGGGCTACCAAGAGCCTGCTCTCCAGAACGCTAAGCTAGTTCCACAGTGCCACCTATCACCCTCCCAGCCCCGCATCCTGAAGATTACAACTATTTCCTCAAGTGTGCTCAGCAGAGAGAACCAGTTAAGCAAAGGAGATAACAGGGACCCTAGTACATACTGAGCCCACATGCTCACAGAGTTGACTCTATTACCTAATTCTTCATAGTATCCAGTGAAGGGGGATCATCCCCATTTTATAGACTGGGAAGAAATGGTGTCCAGAGAGGTTCACATGCCCAACCCAGGATGGCACTCCATGCCCAGGGGGTAAACCCAGGGCCTCAATCCAGGATTTAAACTTGTCCCACTAGGTTCATTCAATACCCATTTAAATACTTGCTGGGTTAGGTTAGCATCAAGCCCTGGGAAAACAATGGTGAACAAAGACTGATTTGTCCCCATGGAGTTGACAGTCTGGAGGGGACAGACAAGAAAGTCACCCAGCACATGGAAACTGCAATGTGGACTATTCTCTTGAAGCCTCCAGTAAGGAGATTTGAGTATTAGGGAAGGCCTCCATGAGAAAGTGACAGGAGCTGAAACCTAACAGCTAACTGGGTGAAGGTGAGGAKGAGGTTGTTAAAGGAGGAGAATGCACGTACCGAGGCCTGAAGTGAGGCGGGCATGGGGAGGRCAAGTCTGAAAGAAGGCCCAGTTGGGCTGGAGGGTAGGGACCAAGGAAGGCAAGGTTCAAGATGGAGCTGGGAGGCCACGGGGGCCAGACCCTGCAGGGCCTGGAGGCCCCTGCAGAAGTTCCCAGGACAATGGACCCTTTCAAGGGTTTTAGACTTCTGGAAGTGGTGGGGAATAAGTGGGAGTGACAGATCAGATTTATACTTGGCAAACACCACTCTGGGCTCAATGAGGAGGCCAGAGTAGGGCAGCAAGAAGGTCATGTGGATGAAAAGGAGAAAGGCCAATACTGAAAGAGATTTTTAGGAGATGAAAGCTGGATAATGGATTGCATGGAAAGTGGGCAACATCCAGGATGACTCTTGGGTGCTGACTCTGGCATCCACAAGGTGAAGAACACTGTCAACTTTTCTTTGCTTATCTCACACTGCCTAAATTTAAAAGTGGTCACTGGCATACAAAAACCAAATAGCTTTAAAAGTGACTTTTGACAAAGTGCAGCGTTTTTTGTTGTCAAAAAGATTGAGAGGCAAGATGGCATTTAGTGGGCAAATGGTGTCAGGGATGCTCAACAGTTCTACAGTGAAGGTAAGGGGTTCCCGAGTCAAGAATTGTTGCACTCTGAGTGCCACTAGCAGCCTTGAGGAGAAACATACTAAAAGACACCATATGTGTGATTCATAAGAAATTATAGGTTAGGTGTCCAGGTGTAATCCAGGGACTGAGGAGGTTGAGGCAGGAGGATGGCAAGTTCAAGTCCAGGTCAGCAACTTGGTAAAGCCCTGTGACAGGGGATGTAGCTTAGCGGTAAAGCGCTCTTGGGTTCAATCCCCAGCACATTCCTCTCCCTGTTCCCCAAGAAAAGTTATAGGGTGTTCTATGGATATTTGAGGGAATTGCCCCATCTTTCCTCCTATAATACCATTCTTGGGTATTATTCTTGAGGTTCGATGAAGCTCAATGGACACGTGGCATTTTATACTAAGCTCAGTTAACTTTTCCAA